GAAACACCACACTCAAAAAGACATCAAAATCAATGAGTCCAAACACGCAAAAGTAAAGCACACAAATATTGCACAAACAAAAACAATAACGAAACTCACATCACTAAAATTGAAAATACTCTCAAGTCAAGCACACAACCCAAAAGACCCAAAACTCCAACACATAACCCTTCAACTTAAATGACCATTACAACCACCACATGAAGCAACGCCACCATCAAACCTCACTGCATTTAGCCTTGAAAAAAAGATGCAGAACATGAGACGAAGCTGGTGAAAGCTCGGACTCAAACGATCTAAAAAGTTATGCAACCCTTTTATTCAAAAGCTACAACTCATTTCAAGTGAAAGTGCACATATCTTTTGCGTAACAGCCTTACTAAGAATTTTTTTTTTTTTTTTTTTTTTCCTCTATATAAGGTAACAAATAATTTGGCAATACGGAATGGCACCAATTTTAGAGGGCTGACTCAAAATTTCGGACATTTTAAGGGGATTTTTGAATTATTTTCACATCTATAAGGTATAAATATTATTTACCACCAAGACTAACAAGCAACCGACCTTAGCTCAGTTGGTAGAGCGGAGGACTGTAGTGGGGTTACCTGATAGATATCCTTAGGTCGCTGGTTCGAATCCGGCAGGTCGGAATTTTTTTTTTTTTTGTTATCAATTTTAGTACCTATGCAAATCTTTAATGATTCTTGCTTTCTTCTTCTACACTGTTCTTCATTTTTTTGTTCTTTTGTTCTTTTTTGTTTGTGTCAATTCTTCTACACTTTTCTTTTGGGTGCTGTGGGGCAGAGACATAAGCCGGTAGTTCCTTCTCTTTTTTTTTTAGAGTGAGTTCGTCCCCTCCCCTTACACTCAAATTTGAGTCTCTTCTTCTATAAGTTAGATGAATTTAGAATATCTTTTATATATAAAAGAAAGTAGTAAATTTATCTGATTGTCCACTGCCTACTTACATCTGTCCCCCTGCCTCTCCTCCTCTACCCAGCAAGCACAAATACACACCTCTTGGTCCTCTTGGATAAGATCATAACATCATCGTATATTAGACAAAGAAGCCTAGAGAATCCCAACAATGGAACAAAAAACACTCCTACCAGCTCTTTCATGCATCATCTTCTTCAACCTCCTCTGCTTCGCCATGGCCCAAGAACCTCCTGCATGCCAAACCACATGTGGTTCCCTTAAACTCAAATATCCCTTTGGCACGGGTGCTGGCTGTGGCTCCCCAACTTTCCAACCCTACATAGCCTGCGAAATTATCAACAAGGACCAAAAGCAGCAGCAGCAGCTCCTCCTCACCACCCACACAGACTCATACCCAATCACTTCCATTTCCTACTCCACCCAAACCCTAACCCTAACCCCGCCCTCCATGTCCTCCTGCTCCTCCATGCAACCCTCCCCATCCAACTTCGGCCTCGACTGGGCCAGCCCTTTTCAGCTCGGCCGATCAACTTTCATCCTCTTGTCCTGCCAACCCCCCACCTCTTCTCTCACCCTCAGAGGTTCCTCCGGCATCCCGGTCTGTGATCCTTCCTACTCTAACCTCTGTGCTTCTATCTACACGTGCCCTTCTGTGGTTGGTCTTGGCCTGCCTTTGTTCCCCCCTACCAACACTTGCTGTGTATATTCACCCGGCAATCTTGATAGCAAGGGTGAGCTGGACCTCTGCGGGCTGAAGTGCGCCGGGTATACCTCCGTGGTGTCCCTTGGAGACTACCCAACGGACCCCGCCCGGTGGGAGTATGGGGTGACGTTGAAGTATAGCCATGGCGATTTGGATAGTGGCATTGTGGACACCAAGTGCAATAGCTGTGAGATGAGTGATGGGGTTTGTGGGTATAGGGTTGATGATCTTTCGTTTCTCTGCGTGTGTAAGAATGGCTACAACACCTCCTCGGATTGCAACAATAATTTCAGTCCAGATCAGGACCTGTTTTGGGGCTCTGCCTCTAATTTACCACCTGCTTGTAAGTTCTTCTTCTTCTTCGATACATTTCTTTTTTTTTATTTAAATTATTAAAGAAGGGAAAAAAAAAAGTTTTCATTTGGATTAGATAATCATTTTTAAACGTTGATGCCTTGTTGTCATAAAATGCGCACCGGATGCTCTTGAGCTTTAGTGGAAAGTGCAGTCCAGTTTTTGCAGAACTTTTGTGTTTGTTTGGGATGGGATTTGTATTGGAGGATAAAGACAACTTTATTGCGTGAGCAAAAAGAAGAGATAGCTTAGGCCTTAAGGTGGAAGCTACAGAATTAGCAAATGGGGAACTAAAATTTAGTGCTGATTTTTTCGTCATCTTTTCAACTTTGCAGGGAAAATGTGGTTTGCGCTCGTGGTTTTTTGGGAAATCTCCTACTCTTGTTTTGATCTTTTTTGAATTGTAATTGGACCAAAAAATATTTATGTGACTATGTGAAGAAAAAAAATAGAATAATAGAACAGTCAAATTGAAAAGGAAGAGGAATAAAGGTGAGCAAAGCATCAGCATCTACCTCACACATAGGATGTGATGTTCCACTTGGAAGTTGGCATATAGATATAGTGGGAAACCTTAACCATCCAATTAAATTAACCTCAGCCTCAGGTACGTTCAAGGATCGGATCAATTGATATGCTTTTTTTTTTAGTACAATGATAGTCTAAATTACAGTTGATGGGTTTTATCACACACACATAACAAATGGTACCATATATGGATTCGAACCTGAGAACTCTGGTATGCAAGTCAAATTCAATGTCCAGCTTAGGCCTTAAGGTGGAAGCTACAGAATTAGCAAATGGGGAACTAAAATTTAGTGCTGATTTTTTCGTCATCTTTTCAATTTTGCAGGGAAAATGTGGTTTGCGCTCGTGGTTTTTTGGGAAATCTCCTACTCTTGTTTTGATCTTTTTTGAATTGTAATTGGACCCCAAAAAATATTTATGTGACTATGTGAAGAAAAAAAAATAGAATAATAGAACAGTCAAATTGAAAAGGAAGAGGAATAAAGGTGAGCAAAGCATCAGCATCTTCCTCACACATAGGATGTGATGTTCCACTTGGAAGTTGGCATATAGATATAGTGGGAAACCTTAACCATCCAATTAAATTAACCTCAGCCTCAGGTACGTTCAAGGATCGGATCAATTGATATGCATATTTTTTGTTTAGTACAATGATAGTCTAAATTACAGTTGATGGGTTTTATCACACACACACAATTAAGGTGCCATATATGGATTCGAACTTGAGAACTCTGGTATGCAAGTCAAATTCAATGCCCTTTTTTTCACTGGACTAGACCCCGTAGACCAATTGATATGCTTTTGGTTGGGAAGTTTGGGTGGTTTAATTGAATTTATTGTGTTTATTGCAAATTAAAAGAATGCTAAACTCATGATGCTACTGGCTTTTAGAATCGTGAGAATGGAACATATACATTTTCATGGACACCAACATAATTTTTACTTTTTAAAAGCACTAACATGAGTTTAACTTTTAAAGCTTCCAAGGCAAGTGCAATCATATCTTTGCTTGGATGGAGTAATTTCAAATCTAGGATTAATGTTGGTACTACAATCCATGATCCATCTATGTTAAGATTTGAATAAGAAAATGAAGAAAATAAATGGATTTCAAATGAGTCCTTAAATATAGTCATTTTAAATCCATTACAAATGTTTTACATCTAGTTATTTGAAATAAATTGAATCCAATGTTTTCTAGTTTTT